GAATCAATGTGTGTGAGTGTTGATTAAGTGGTGTGTATCTAAGAACATTCTGACATGACATCTAGTGACATGTCATGACATTACACATAAGAAAATATTATGATTACAATTACGGTTACACATATCATAATAATAACAATATCCTCCTGCCTGCAAACGTTTTCTATCTAGTTGTCCTTGGCCATATGCACCCTGTGAGAAAATCATGAGAATGACTAAGCATTTAACAGCCTGAGCTATACATCCTGTCTCCACTAAACATTTCTAATTTCTAATATCTAACCAATATCTATCTGACTAAAAAATACCTAACAATATCATCATGAAAACATCATTGTTGTGCTGTTGTTCCTTGCAGGATTTCAGTGTGCAGTACCCTTTGATTTCTAGAATGTATAAAGGAAGAGCTCCTTAGTAATATGCCTGTAATGTGACTGTCGACTCTTTTCCCCTAATTTCCACCAGATCCAGCTGTGTAGCTTTCCGTCTACAAAGTGGTTTTCATCCATCCTTTTTGCAGCTTCATCACATCATCAAAAACGCAGCTCACCACATTCATTTCTGTTTTGATTTCAACTTTTGTGCCACTGAATGATGACATCATCCAGCAAAGGAGCTGTATTGACCAATCATGTATGGGGAGTAAAAGGACTTTTATTTACCTTGTTAGCATAAGCATTCACTCCCATTCACTGTTGAATTTGGGCCACATATAAAGCACCATAATGACACAACATTGATTTTTGTTAGTACTGGATGATAAACTATGATTATTATGCATCATTGCATGCACACTAGTGCTAAGGTAGAGTAGGCTAAGAGAGCAGCATCGCTAACCAAAATACAATGCCAGCTCCCAGGCTGCAAACATGAATGAAGTGTCGGAAGTCAACCACTTCCTCATCGGATTCCAGATGATGGACAGAATATTCAGTCACAAAATACCACAAAATACCAAAGTGCACTTAATTATAATTACCTTTATTCACAGATGCGCATCTGGAGATCACAGCAACAGCCAAAATGATCTGATCTTACATCTCTAACACTGTGTGTTTTATACTATTCTTCCCGCCTCCTTACATTCCTTAGGATGCAGCTGAGATCAATCAACACCCAACCAAAGTTCTATCCCACCATACACAGTGCTTCTCTCATGACACTTGTCTTCCTCCCTAAAACTAAGG